ACGATAGTCAACAAGGACTATATGTCACACGGTCTGGGCGAGTCGCGCCCGCGTTCCACATGACAACATAGATGTAGTCGTTGTAGGAGACAGTTAAAGTACCCGAGCTAACTAACACTTAGTCCCAGAATTAAAGTTGTTATTTCAAAATATATATCTTCAAAATTACAAGTAAAATAGATGGAAACCAGAGCGATGCTTAATTCCTGGAGTTGAAGCAATCTAGACTTGCCAAATAATTCTAGACTGGATTTACTCATTTTTTAATTTATTATCCACAGTCTGGGAGACAGGCCGTTCGTCACCACTCGCCTCTTTCCGTAACTCGCTATTCGGCTTGTCCCGTAATAACACGAATGGGAGACAGGCTAGTACCCGAGTTACATTCTACTTTCTGCTAAGTTAGCTTTGAGGGAAGGGGAATTCGTTGGTCTAGATGTTGTAGTGAATGAGTATGGTTTTACGCTGCTCTTATCAATATTCAAACACAACGGAAGGGGAAACCACTGAAGTGGCTTCACACATTATACACTTGTGGAGAATGGACCCACGGCATTCGGCGTGACGTTCGAAAACTTTCATCACAAGCCTGACAAGGCCACCTACAGCCCCTAGGTGATAGTAATTAGCATGTGTGTGTGTGTGTGTGTGTGTGTGTGTGTGTGTGTGCGTGCGCGCGCGCGCGGGTGCGTGTCAGAGGTCAGAGCTTGGGGATAAGTGCGTGTGTGTTAGCGGGCGTATGCGTGATAAAGGTTATCATTAGCTTATAGATCGATACCCTTTATACCAGAGGAGATCCTGGTGGTTAAAACTGGCCTTCAGCAGCCCATACTTGTCGTGAGAGGCGACTAACGGGATCGGGTCGACAGGTAGGTTGATGCAGGTCATTATATACCAATTTTGCAATGTCATGGTCCAGATTCCATTATTTAGACACCTCGGTAATATTGGTTTGAATATTGCTAAGTCCGGCGTTAAACATACAAACTACTGGTCAGGCTCGTATCTTGGCTGATTTCATGTCATTGTTTCCCAGTTGCGTGGAATAATGTTCATGATGTCAATCACTGGATTTACAGACATCCATCCTACAGCTGGAATATTGTGCTGACACAGCAAGGATCGTTCTCAGGCTGATCATGGTTAGAAAAGGTGGTTATTGTGATTTGAAACTTTTGATTGACCAATCAGAATCAAGCATTTTCCAAATTCCTAATAATAATAAGGTCAACAAAACAATGTTGGATAAACATTTCAGGTGCCTAGGTCCATTTTATGTTTGTCGTGGATTAGAGCACGGAACGTTGGTATCTAACCCTCGATATTATTAGTTAGTTTTCCAGGCCTCGGACTTGAATTAACCATATCAACAATTAGTAAACCAGTCCTCCCGTTCGTGATTACTTAAACTAACCCTTGGGTTGCCAAGTGGCCCATACGTCTGAAGCCTATACTAACGTTTAGTCTCTGACTCTATATAATTTTTGATAGAAATACATAACTCCATTTAAACTGAAAAGGAGTCCCAGTGAGATGTGACATTCATCCTGACCCTGAGGAAAATCTAGACTTACTTCATTTAGGACTTTTACATTACAGAAATGGATGAGGGGAAATAACATCTGAAGCCCTGTAGTTCACTGTACAAAGTTACATCCCTTCGGCATACCAGGAACCTAAGATTCGAGTCCCAGAATCACTCTGATGTTTCTTGGTTTGTCAGATCCAAATAACAAAGTAACAAACTTCAAAGACATGCATCACTTCCGGCTTTTCTCCCACAAGCTGACAGACTGGATCAGATATCATTGAAATATTTTCCAGTCAATTGCATAAACCTCAGCAAAGCAATAACTGTTTGTGTTGTTTTTTTGTCAGTTGTTTCACGGAGCACTCATAATATTCTGAATCAGGCAGTCCAGTGGTTGATATCATGAACATTGATCCACACAATTGGGATCTGATGACAAGCAGTCATCCAGGCTTGGAGTCCATACCTTGGTACAGTGTGTGTTGTTTTCTGGGGTCCCCCAAGGTTATATTGCTGGAATATTGCTAAATTCGGGGTAAATCCATACTCACTCACTCCAGTATAGTGTGTCCATCTGATTGTTTGTTTGTTTGTTTGTTGGACCCTAACTTAGCAATATCCCAGCTTTATGACAGCAGTCTCTAAATAATCGAGTCTGATTCAATCCAGTGATTGACATAATGAACATTCCACACAACTGGGGTATTACACGAAATCAACCAAGTCACTGAGTCTGACCACCGGACCCATCTACATCTAGTGGCCTCTAAGGACAAGCATAGCTTGCTGGCGACCTATATTCTTACCGGAGCCAGGGTTTACAGTAAGCAATGATGTCCAATGTTCAAGGAGTACTGGAAAGTTCAATAATAGATAAATGTTTATTTCATTATTTACAAGGAGCAGTATACAGATATAAACAGGCTTTCAATGAAGATATGTACACATGCCAACAATACTGTCTGAGAAAACAAACAAAAGCTGCAAAATATTTTCAATAATCCATATGTATGGAAACACAACCATAACAGGAAACAAAGACATGTCCACTGTACTGGACAAATTCCTAACAGACAAAAATAAACTTTCGCAGTTGTGTTCAATGAAATGCAAATGTGTCCATTGTCCTTTAGGCCAGACTTTTTTTAAATCCACAAACTCCCAAAATTCAAATGCAAAATACAATGAACAGAAGTGGATGTTATCCCCTGACCAGAAATAAGTATAATGTTAAAAAACCCAACTCGTTAATAAATAAATTGTTATGCTATTATTCAAACTTTTGAAAATTTATCTAAAAATTTCCCCCTAACATTGTGCTTTATTTTTTCCCCTACCTTCTAACATTTTCAGGAAATGAAAACAATGAAAACGAAATCAAATAATCAGTTACCAAAAAAAAGAAAAGTCTGGCCCTACATAAATATTTTTGTTGACAATGCAAAAAATAAATATAACCAATATTTATTACCGGGCAATCAATGCACAAAATCATAAGTATTCTGATAATATGAACATAGAGGATTGGTTTCTGTAGTGTTTTCTCCAGTATTGATTTTACTATAAAAAGAAATACCCCTGTTCATATGATCAGAGTAATTAGCGTTTCATGTACTCTCTTTCACTGGTATAAGGCTGGGTGCCGTTGCACAAAAACAACCTTAGCGCTAAGATGATCGTAAGCCGATGTTAAGGAGTTATGATTACCTTAGCACTAAGATCACTTTGTACAACAGCATCCTGGTTTGTGTGGATTCCCAGTTCATTTTAAAACATCTTTCGTTAATGCTGACTGGTAACTATGGTTACTTGGTTGCTATGGTATCAATACCAGATGAAGCAGAGGGTGGAGAAACTGTACAGAAATATGCACCGATGGAATAAATAATGCTCATCCCCTGAAATAGTTCATTTGATAACCCAAGATGCACTTAACAAGGTTCATATATTAATGAAACGTTCAATCATTCATTTTTACCAACATACCACGCGATATCACATCTCTGATCATGTTGATCAACAACAAAAATATCCCCTACTAAAAAACCCAGTTTTGTGGAGGTACCTTCTTTCGAATAATTTTTGGCAAAAAATATAAAAAGTGAATTACATGCAGCTTGTGTTGTATACTCCCCAGGGAGTTGAGTGTGAAAATTGAGTGCACACAGATCCATTGACAGGGTTAATAATAATTAAGCACTATGAGCCTGTCCTTGTGATGTTGAAAAATAGTACAATATAAATGTACTTATTATTATAATTATTATTATTAGAGTTAAGCGGATTTTATAAAATCAACATATAGAGTTATACATTAAAATTACAGAAAAATAAAGCTGTGGTATGAAGCCACATGGACACAAAAAAAACATCATAAACATCTGTCGCCTGAAAGTCCTACATAAGAGGTAGGGAGAGTGAGTGAGTGAGTATGGTTTTACACCGCTTTTAGCAATATCATATTCCAGCAATATCATGGCGGAGGACAACCACCATGACGCTTCAACCACCAGGCTACCCGACCGCCCCTCATGTCACTGTGAATACAGGCTCATCTGGTCTTATATGAGTGCATGAGGTGAGGTGAAATTGGGTTTAACGTCGCGTCCAAGATTATTGCACTTATATAGCGACGTGCATGCACGTGTATGTGTGTGTGTGGCTGCTTGTACTAGTCCGGACTGATGCCGATTTATAGTGCTAGCTCACTGAGATACCATGCCGCAGTTTAACATGAATACCCCACTCAGACACAGTATACTGACTCCGAGCCGACCAGTCCTTGTTTTAGCCCCTTAATGCCGAGCGCCAGACAGGGTAACAACAAGTACAATCTTTTAACGTCTTTTTGTATGACGCGGCCCGGGATCGAACCCTGGACCTTCCGCTCTCCGGGCGGACGCTCTACCACAAGACCACGGAGGCGGTCTATGAGTGCATGAAAACGTTGACATGAAAACATTTTATTTTAAACATAGCAATTATTATTCATTAACTTGGCGGCCATGACATCACAGTGGAGGAACACACGTTCCACAGATTCCTACAGAACGTTGAACAGTAAGATGTTACTCCCAACCTCCAGTAGAACCAGTGTATTGTAGTTAAGACATTCTGAAACGACAGCCTCCGTGGCCTAGTGGATATAGCATCTGCCAGGAGAGCGGGAGGTCGGGGGTTCAGTCCCCTGGACATGTCATATCAAAAGACGTTCAAAGATGGTACTTGTTGTTACCCTGCCTGGCACTCAACATTAAAGCGATAAAACAAGGACTGGTCGGTTCGAAGTCACTATACTGTGTCTGAGCAGAGTGTACATAAACTGCGGCATGGTATCTCAGTGGGCGAGCACTATAAAACCATCATTAGTCCAAGCTAGTACAAGAGCACGCACAAGCACGCACAAGCACGCACACATGTGAAAGCACATCACTACATGTGTGCAGTAATATTGAATGTTAAACCCCGTTTCACCTCACCCTGCCTTCTGAAACAGACTGGGTCTTCTCAGTGTTTGCACTGCATCACATTTACATACATGATGTCATCAAGTTTTGTGCGAGTATATCCAATGAATCTATTTTTAGCCACAACACATGGGGGTTTCCTTTATGGTAAACGACTCTATTTATAGCAAGGTAACAATGCCATATTTGGATTAAGTTTCCGTAACAGCTAAGGTTTAAAATTTGAATCGAATGATGAGATCTTGCCCTTTTTGTTTCTACAAAAATATAATAACAAAAGCAACAACAAAAGCTAGGTAAGGAATAATTGTGCCAGAGTGTATTTATAAACAATAATAACTAACATGGTAGAAAAGAGTAACGGGCGCCTGCGGGAAGAGTTTGGTGTCCGCTGAATTCTCAGACCACATGATTACAGAGGAAACAGATGTCAGGTGAAATAAGTTTGTTTGTTTGCTGTTAAACGCTGCACTCAGCAATATTCCAGCTAAATGACGACAGTATGTAAATAATCGAATCTGGACTAGACAATCCAGTGATTGACTTCATGAGCATCGATCCACGCAATTGGGATATGATGACATGCATCAACCAAGTCAGCAAGCCTGACCACCCGATCCCGTTAGTCGCCTCTTACGACGTGAAATATGTCACGATATAGAATGAAACTGATGTGAAACACACACTAATGGTTTAATGATATTATTCCAATTTTAGTACAGGTTAATTTCTGGCAAATTCAAATGTATAAAAATACTATTTATTTATGTTACTCCAATATAGTTGTTTTGTTATCCCATTGATATAACAATGGACGTTGTTATCGGTGTGCATAACCAATCTGACTAAAACATGTGAAGGAGGCCATCAAGTGAGTGAGTGAGTGGTTTAACATCGCTTTTAACAGTATTCCAGTTATATCCCGGCATGTCAGCTTAATGTGGGAGGAAAGCCCGAAGTGATGCAGGTCCCAGACGTTTACCACTTCGGTGAAACCCACGAGCACGGGTATGGTGCTGACAAACCTAGAAACAATTGGGGCCAACCAGGATTCGAACCCCAAATCATAGGTTTCTGGCGTGCCCAAGGGACGCAACTCTGCACAGCGAATCGCGGCGCCTTAGACGACTGGGCCACCCGAGCCCCCAGCAAGCAGGAATAATGCGTGCCTACTTGATGGAAAAACTATAGTGCAACCTTCCTAAGATGTCTCGATAGAGGTTCCTGATGCGTGAGTGCTTCTGTAAACAGACATGGGTGCCAGCATGGCATATCAGTCGGAACTATATATTACTGGGCGATTCACACAGGCATTGTATTCATACACTGTTTCTTATATTACCTGAGTGAATGAAACATGTATTAACCTCTGTAAGTATTTTAAGACATCCTTGTATTTTTTCATAAATTGAATTTTAAAAAATTAGGGAAATAAATGTGTTTTACTCTCACCATAGGCCTGTACCGAACAATTTGTATTCCTAATATCTTATAAATGCAATACAAAACTCACATGGCTTATACAGATAATCTCTACTTTGAACACTGAGGGAAATACCTAAATGAACAAGCTTTGTTCTTATTTCAAAACCATATAAATAAGTATACAAATACTTTCACAATATGCTTCGACTATTATTTTTTACTTTGAAGTTAACAAAGGCCGCTTAAGCAGGGTGCCTGAACTGTTTTCATAATCCATCAATCAGATACAACATTTAAGATTTGTGAGTTTCTCTGTAGGCGTGTGGGTTGTTTGTTATTTCCATTAATTTCTTGATTAATCTGTGAGCACAGAAACACAACTCTTGCCGATCTAATAAACATAAGTTCCAACTTAGCTTCAGAACTGAGAAATAGACACCATGTTTAATCCCATTATCATTTGAACAGTTTCAGTTTACAATGGTGACAGCAGGTATTGTACTATGCAGGATTCAAACCATGTGTCGGTCATGAGAGGCAAACACTTTAGCCACGAGGCCACCCTGTGTATTTCAGTAGCATTGTTATCAAAGTAGTACAGTATTTGTGAATCTACTATTAAATATACCTGTTCTGGGCTATAAAATTACACAATGCACCCTGGAAGTAGAATAGATAACGTCAACCCATATTCCCTCCTTGATAGTAGGAAAGCGTACTTGAACCAATTTGAGGGGTTGTTTATTGTTCTAGAGGTCCAATGACCCAGAAAAACAGAGTCAAAACATCTGATAAGCTCTTCACCTACATATAGCACATCTATCAGTCCAGAGTCATGCACAGTCTCCATGTATTGCAGGCAGGTCATAGATAATGATTTTGAATGAAGGATTAACATGGAGTCCATTTCACGGAGGCCATGCAGAACCACCATATTGGGAGTGACACATGACTTACTGAATGTTGAAACAATAATGATTCATAGACAAAATGATTTAATTATTCAAACAGATCCAGAACGTTTTGGTATAAGTACATTTATCCCCCTGTCGTGGGGAGGATGGAGGAATTACTTTCCATAGTGTAGTAATATCCTGAAAATGTAAACTGCCTGTTGAAAATATCACTACATTTCCCATACAACCTCCATACCCTAGAGTTTGGATTAAGGCAAATTTGCATGAAAGGAGAAAAATCAGGGAAACTCTGCTTACCTTATTAATAAATGCAATTTGACGAGTGTTCTTGAAGAAATGAGACAACTAGCTTTTTCAAATATTATACATTCTTAGGTTGACAATAAATGGTATAATTGCTAATGTGTTCCATTCCAAATAAAGGTTTCAAATCTAAGATAACATATTCCAAATAAAGGTATCAAATCTAAGATAACATATTCCAAATAAAGGTTTCAAATCTAAGATAACATTTCCACAATAAAGGTTTCAAATCTAAGATAACATATTCCAAATAAAGGTATCAAATCTATTCCAAATCTGCACCAAAGAAAGTCTGTCTCCTATGTTTATAAGATCGACATGTCCCTTGTTCCCCCCGTCTAAATGTCTCCATAATTTAATCTCTGCCCCAGTCTCCCCACACATTACTACATGACAAACTACAGCCTGATGATACAAACATACAAGTGCAACTGTATGAACCACTTTGTAGCATGAGCATTTGTACAGGCAATGCATACATTTCAAGGCAAAGTTATTTCATATATTTTGTTAAGCAGCTTAAGTTTAATTAAATAAATTAGAGAAATATCAAGATGAAACAAAATTGTAAAAATAGTTCATGTAACTGTTTTCTTGGATCATATTTCAGCATTATAGTTAGGTACAAGTTTAAAAAACATTGGTTTCTTTCAACTAGTTGTACTTTATACTCAAAGCCAAAACTGTCATTTTGTTCTCATTATTTTATCAGATCTTTATTTTTGGGAAGCTTGTCACCCAGAACCACCCTCGTGTAATGGTGTCTAATTGAGCTGAAGATGGACCAACTTGACTTACCACTGAAGGAAGTCTTTACCAGTAAAGCAATAGTTTATATTCTTTACACAAGTAACCAGGAAATGTCTGCTTATTATCACACACCACTAGACATGTACTGAATTTTGACAGTAAAATGATAGTGATGAACTTTCTTCGTTTATCTCAATATGAAGTTTGTATCCAACCCCCAAGTCTCTCTTGGCCAGTAGTTTCGGTGTACACGCTGGCCAGCTGATTAATCAGTGGAGCTGTACGGTCAATATCAGCACAGTTATTACCAATATCACCTAGTAAATAAATGTACATGATAATTTATTCCTGCCTTTGAATATAAATACTGGACACACATGATCATCATGATAATACTCATTATAGGAGTAAAATAACTTCAAAATATTCATAACTGCCATTTCCCAGCAATGATTGGCTAGTACAGGAACACTTCACCCTCTCCCACGTACAAGGCAACACGTGATATGACTGACACAGACTGCTGGCACCATTGTCCACGGTCTCAATAACCAAGGACCAAGTCAGTGGAGAAATGATAACCATCATCATGATAATAATACCTTTGGATTAGGTTGGATATTACCGGCAAACATCAAAATTTAAAAAAAAAAAAAATTGAACACAACATGAAGCATTAAAAAAAATGTCTCTCTAATATAAACTTTAAAAAATAGCCAATGGAATTGAATTTACTATTGAAAGAAATAACCAAAGGTGGCCTTTTTCCAAAAAACAAAAAAAAGGGAATTAAATTTATCCCCATTCTGGCGTTACCTAAAAAAATATTTTTCAAATCAGTGTCTGAGTTTTTACAAAATGTACAAGGCATAAACAAGATAATACACATACAAAATGGGAAGATATCATTCATATTGTTTACCAAATTGCAACATGAATGTGTAAGACATGAATGAAGGTGGGTCGGTGCCCGTGGGATGAAGCTTAAATCTTAGTGTGCAAGTTACCATGGTAACCGGATAAATCTTTGGCTTATTGCAAACATCAATTTATATTCATAAAAATATACTTGAGCATTTTAAACAGAAAGTGACCTTATATTTAATAAGCATATAGACCAATGCAAGAAATTGACTGAAATATTATGAAGTGGTCATCTAGTGCTTGGCTTTGCTGTGTGAAACATATTTACAGAATCCGTTGTACAGGCCCATCCTCAACAATCACGGCACATTTTCTTTGCTTGATCCACATCTACCCTTGAGAAAGAGTAAGGATGCCTTTCCATTGCTTTTAACAAAATAACAGAGCCCTTATATGGTCTGACAATAGTCAGCCAATCAAACCTCTTCATACCAACATTAGAATTAACAAGTTCCTCACAGTGATATCCCGTTTGCGGAGCTCTTTATACTATCGCTGCCACCAGTCAAAACTCCCCACTGTGACAGGTGACCATGACCATCCTTGGAGTTGAACTCGCAACCGACGGACCGTTATGTTTACAAACATGCGATGACTGCCTTGACGTCGAATACACTTACATTAAATCATCAGGATAAGAGTATCAAAACCAGGCCCATCTTCCCGAGGCAAGCATGTCCACTAGCCTACATCAAAGCCTAGTTTCTACCCTTGCCCCATCAAGGCCACTTTTCTTGGCTTGACCCTAGCGCCACCTTGCGTAGATCAAGAATTGTGCCCCTTGTAATTAAAACGTGGTATCCAATCAGATCGCTGTTCTTATCTCATATAGCTTCACAAAGATGGCAACTACCATAGGCGACAACTTAGTCGCTTAGTCGATCAGATACCGAAAACATTCGCGATTTCATCCACAAAAGCATAGGCAATCGCTAGTGGACGCTCTTGCCTCAGGAAGATGAACCGGGCCAAGCCAATGCCTGCATCACTTGAGAACTGTATTTAGAACTAATATTAGGTAAGACACTTTATATATTAAAACTTCTGGATTCAAGCAACAGATGCCAAAAATTGATTGCTTAGAAATAATTTTATGCAATTATTACTTTTATAAATAATAATTGATTATAGTACTGTACGTAATCTCTGGCCATTGCAATCCTTTTACATGAAGCCCAAAGTCATCTCAGTAAAGTGCAGACATCTATATATTAGGTAAATATACAAAACATTGCACAAGAAACAATATCAGAATTTATCCCCCCCCCCCCCCGCCCCCTCCTCAAATCGAACACCAAAACAACTTAGGCCAAATAAATAATAAATTATGGAGCTAAAGAAATGTTGTTATTTTTCATATTATTGCATTGTATAGCAAATTATTTAAACCATTAAAGAAATAAGCGATGTTTTCAATAGGATTCTGCAAGGGTAGAAGGGTACTAGTGGGAGCAAGTTGTGTGTAGGTGGCTGTAGACCTCCAAGGACTCATCACACATCCAAGCCCAACAGAGTGCATACAAAATAATCATTGTGAGCAATTGCAGACCCTACACTAGGATCAACCATGTGTATCCTGGCTTCTTCCAATACAATTAATGAAACACATATACTGTAGGCGTGAAATAAAAATGGGTGCACTGGTCCATCGTAAGTTTTCATGTGACGATACGATACACAATACGTTTTCTTCTGTATCGATACAAGACGATACACTTGCTAAAATATATTACTTCCTACTCGTTTAATGACCCCAACAATATTGTCAGTCAAATATCACGAAATGTATTGTAATTAGCGTTCCAAATTCATTCCTAAAAATAGCAGCTACGACCATGTGTCTACAGCTAGCTTTTCCTTTAGAAATTGATTTATAGTCAAGAAGTTTCCACACAATTTGACTTGAATATGTGCATCACGACGTATCGTATCGTTACCTATGTATCATTACACCCCTAATATCGTGTTCCATTCGTGGATCCATGACATAATACCAAATGAAATGAATTTTTGGTCACATGACCGCTGTCAATACAATATTTGTACTTCCTGAAACATGAACAAGAATTTTCTGTTTAGAAAACAAATACTCTCTAAACAGCGACTCCCCCGAACATCCAATGGTTGGTCATTGAGGAGCAGGAGCACCGTCATCACGGAAATGAATGTGGATGAGATATTCCTTATTCCGAATGAAACATGAATCCATAATTTAAATATCTCCACGATATTGTGACATGACTTGCACCATGACGGTTCCTCACAGAATACTAGTCTTCCCACAATGCCGAGTTCTACACATCGTGATATTTGAGAAACTCCTTCAACTTAATCGGGATGGAAAGATGATCTATCTTTGGTGTGGGCAGACGTTTTCTGATTGTCATTCGCGCGAGATGCAGTAAACTCGTTACATCCCGCTCACTTCTGTAGAATGTAACTTCACCATTTCGCGTCCTGAAAAAACAATGAGAGATGCTTAGCAAGTTTTAATATGACAAAAACTATCACCCATTCGGGATTTCAAGTTGGAGTAGATCCTGCCAAGCTATCCTTGTCGTATGACTGAATAGATCATGGGTTGGTTGGTTGGTTGGTTGGTTTGTTGTTTAACGCCGCACTCAGCAATATTCAAGCTATATCACGGCGGTCTGTAAATAATCGAGTCTGGACCAGACAATCGAGTGATTAATATCATGAGCATCGATCCACGCAATTGGGATCGATGACATGCATCAACCAAGTCAGCGAGACTGACCACCCGATCCCGTTAGTCGCCTCTTACGACAAGCATAGTCGCCTTTTACGGCAAGCATGGGTTACTGAAGACTTATTCGACCCCAGATCTTCACGGGTCTGAATAGATTGGGTGGTCATGCTCTGTGACTGATTTGATTGTATGTCATTGTACGCCAACATCATGGATCATTGCTCACACTATTAATCACTCGATTGTCTGGTCCAAATATAATTATTTACAGACCCTGTCATATACCTGGAATATAAGTGAGTGAGTGTGTGACGTTTTACACAGCTTTTAGCAATACTCCAGCAATATCTCGGCAGGGGACACCAACAATGGGTTTCACACATTGTACCCACGTGGGGAATAGAACCCGGGTCTTCGGCCTGACAAGCAAACGCTTTAACCACTAGGCTACCCCAGCGCCCCGCCTGAACTGTGGCAGAGTGGGAGTTAAACAACAATCATCCTGACTCATGAAGCCGAGGTCAGCCAAAACCAAAATGTCACCCGGAAAAATGGATGAAAGTCTCAAGAAAGTCTGTCTCACAGACCCTGAATCACATTATTTTCCCCTCCGCTTCACATTTGTCCGTAATGTAAAAGGCCAATATGAAGCAAGTCTAGATTTTCCCCATGTTCAGGAATCTCCCATAGAATTATATATTTCCATCAAAATTATTAGCCGTAGTCTAATCTCCAGATGAAGACATCAGCAAACTAACCAGTGTTGGAAATACAGTAAACGACGGTTATAACGAACACGCTTATAACGAACTGACGGATATAACAAACTTACTTTTTTGGTCCCGAATATTTGCTGTAGTTATTCTGTATATATGCTTATAACGAACTACGGTTATAACGAACTAAAATTAGTAGTCCCCTTGAGTTCGTTATAACCGTACTTTACTGTAATGCTAAACCCCAACAAGACAGCTGGGCTGGTGACCCATAAATGTTGCCTGTCCATCTTCAAAGTTACCTGCCCACATTCAGACATTATTAATATTGAAAAATCGCAAAAATAAGATCTTGATTCAGTTAAAATAATGCAAACAATTAATTTAGAATCAATGTGGAATTATGACAAAACTGAATACGTAAGTAGACTTAAAATTATCTGCCAGACATTCGGGCAGGGGGAGAAAAATTTCAAGCAGCCTGACAGAAAAGTTACTAGCCACGGGCAGGCGGGCAGGCAGGTATTTCCGATAGTGATGCTTACCCCACTGCCAGCACTGCTCCGCCGGGGCTGTACGCACAGCAGAGGGCGTTGGAGTTCTCGCTGATCATGCCGGGATCTCCGAGGCTGTGAAGATCCCAGAACCGGACGTACCTGCGGCAAATACAGCATTCATTACACTCCATCTCTCAACCTTAAATATAACTTACAGTAGGAAGTTTATGTCAAGAATTAGGAGTAAGAACTATTACAGTGTTGAAGGTACTGATTGGTTAATGTTCAAAGTATGCCCCATAGATCGATGTAACATAAATTGTATAAGGAAGATACGTCTAATAATTGTTACCATCGCCTACTGGTCGGATATATTGGGTTGATGAAGCGGATGTATTGGGTTGATGTAGCGGATGTATTGGGTTGATGTAGCGGATGTATTGGGTTGATGTAGCGGACGTATTGGGTTGATGTAGCGGATGTATTGGGTTGATGTAGCCAATGTATTGGGTTGATGTAGCGGATGTATTGGGTTGATGTAGCGGATGTATTGGGTTGATGTAGCGGATGTATTGGGTTGATGTAGCGGTTGTATTGGGTTGATGTAGCGGATGTATTGGGTTGATGTAGTGGATGTATTGGGTTGATGTAGCGGTTGTATTGGGTTGATGTAGCGGATGCATTGGGTTGATGTGGCGGTTGTATTGGGTTGATGTAGCGGATGTATTGGGTTGATGTAGAGGATGTATTGGGTTGATGTAGCGGATGTATAGGGTTGATGAAGCGACGGATGTATTGGGTTGATGTAGCGGATGTATTGGGTTGATGTAGCGGATGTATTGGGTTGATGTAGCCAATGTATTGGGTTGATGTAGCGGATGTATTGGGTTGATGTAGCCAATGTATTGGGTTGATGTAGCGGATGTATAGGGTTGATGAAGCGGCGGATGTATTGGGTTGATGTAGAGGATGTATTGGGTTGATGTAGCCAATGTATTGGGTTGATGTAGCGGTTGTATTGGGTTGATGTAGCGGATGTATTGGGTTGATGTAGCAGATGTAGCAGTGTCAAACAAACAAACAAACAAACTCCTACCCATCATCTGAGACGGAGGCGATGTGAGCTCCGTCTCCAGCTAGGGAGACGCTCCGGACGTAGTGGTCATTGGCGCCGCCGGCATAGATTGGCCTTGGAGGGGGAAAGAGATGTCTGTGAACAGAACAGTTCTTTAGTTTGTACAAGTCACACAAAGCATTTATTAGACTTTGTTTTTAAAGTGCAAAAACTCCTTAAAAAGTAACACATAACATGTAAATCTTGACGACATATTGTGACCAAAACAGAGAACATGCATCACAAATGTTGACATTGCACAGACAATGACAAATGTCACAGTGGTGCTCCAACAAGAGCATCAAGTACTGTGTGAAACTGGTTCTTTATATCTGTTAAATAGCCCTAAACTTTTTGGGATTGCCAGTTTGTTTTTCAACTTATACTTTTCCTTGGGACATGGCAATAGATTCCATGATAATATTTCCAACATGAAAAATACAAAACCTTGGCAAATTGAGCTTGCAATTTTAACTTCAAGTAAATATTTTTCGATCCTGTCATAAATGATGTATACAACATAGCCCTTATACAACAGTGCCATGTACAACAGCGTCATATACAACAGGGCCTTATGCAGGCCATATACAAGAGCACCACATACAACAGCAACATATACAACAGTGCCATATACAACAGTGCCTTATGCAGGCCATATACAACAGCACCACATACAACAGCACCATATACAACAGCATCATATGCAGGCCATATACAACAGCATTATATACAACAGCACCATATACAACAGCACCATATACCACAGCATCATATACCACAGCACCATATACAACAGCATCATATACCACAGTGACATATACAACAGTACCATATACAACAGCACCATATACAACAGCATCATATACCACAGTGACATATGCAACAGTACCATATACAACAGCATCATATACCACAGTGACATATACAACAGTGCCATATACAACAGCACTATATACAAGAGCATCATATACCACAGCACCATATACAACAGCATCATATACCAGTGACAAATACAACAGTACCATATACAACAGCACCATATACAACAGCATCATATACCACAGTGACATATACAACAGTACCATATACAACAGCATCATATACCAAAGTGACATATACAACAGCATCATATACCAGTGACATATACAACAGTGTCATATACAACAGCATCATATACCACAGTGACATATACAACAGCATCATATACCACAGTGACATATACAACAGCATCATATACCACAGTGACATATACAACAGCGTCATATACAACAGCATCATATACCACAGTGCCATATACAACAGCATCATATACCACAGCATCATATACAACAGCATCATATACCACAGTGACATATACAACAGTGCCATATACCACAGTGACATATACCACAGTGACATATACCACAGCATCATATACCACAGCATCATATACCACAGTGACATATACAACAGTGCCATATACAACAGCATCATATACCACAGTGACATATACAACAGTGCCTTACCCAAACTCCCGCAGTGAGTCCCCTGTGTAGGGGTCCCAGACAATGACCCGGGTGTCGTAGGAGGCTGTGGCCAGGAGGGCGCTGTCGGGGGAGAACTCACAGCTCACGACATCATGATAGTGTCCTTCCAGCTTCCGCAGCACCTTGATGTCATAGGGGTCCTCAACGTCCCACAGCACCACCTGCAGAACGAGGGTCAGTGAACACGTGAGGAGACATGTTGTAAACTTACAGGTACTGATGAACTGTGTCACCAAGGCGTTCCAGAAACCTATGATTATTGGTTTGAATCACACCCATTCTGTAAGGGTCTGATGTCAGCTATTTGTGTCAACGGATTTCGGTCGGCATTGTTTCATAGCAATAAAGAATTTGGAGGCATCATGTAAAGGAATTGATAGAATAATCAACATACACAATGTACATGTGACGGTTTTATTTGCATGATTTGCGATTTTACTTTAGAAATAGCGATACAAGGCAAGGAGTGCTGTATGGAGAGAATGGCCATGTGTAAAGATATAATTGGATACCGCATTTTTTACACTTATCATGCTTATGTGATAATTGGTCTTGAAATATTTAACTTAAAAATCAACACAAGGGCCTGTGGTCCAAACAGCCCTAACTAAACCAAACTTATTTAAAGTTGATTGCCAAGCAAGGAAATGATCTATTTTCATGTGAAACATGTGTTATATCATTTGACACTCATGTTATTTTTTATCCTTTTGTTATCACCATTTGATACCCATGTTATCAACAATGACCCCCTTGTTATCACCATTTGATACCCATGTTATCAACAATAACCCCCTTGTTATCACCATTTGATACCCATGTTATCAACAATAACCCCCTTGTTATCAACATTTGATACCCATGTTATCAACAGAGTGAGTGAGTGAGTGAGTGAGTGAGTGAGGTTTTGGCACCCTGGAGACATACACGGGAACCTCTACAGATATTAAATTTGAAAAACTTAACATTTAATAACGACATAAACAAGTATTAATCCATTAACAGAATCAGTAAGATATGTAAGACATTCAGCCCGATTACATACATACGACAATACATTCCAACCAACTTATTCTTATGCAAAACAATTGTGTTGTGTCTCTTTGTCAGTCTCCTGCACAGGGTCTGTTTGAGTGAGGGCTTTAGGCATAGGGGATATAGGTCACATGTCACTGTAAGTCACATTCCTTCATAAAGAAGGTCAGTGATAGTGTGTGTGGGTGTGACTGTGTCCATGCAGTTGTCTTATAACTGGTCCAATTTTTTTTTTAAATATACAGACATATTTAGGTACAGAAGCAGCATAATAATTAAAATGATAATTTCAATCAGAAATAACAATATATTTGTAATTAATTTAGTTACTTTTTTCCATATCTTGACAAAATCTAGGAAAATGGGTGTCTCTGAAATTGTCTAAAATGCGCTTGAAACAAAAGTACAAATAAATAATTTTCAGAATAAGCATAATTTCAAGCAACTAGAGCAATACAATTTTTATCTATTTGGCTTATATTTTCCTTGTTTTTTACATACAAAAACTAGGCCAGAGTGTAAAGGCTGTGTGTGTCTCGTGTCTACGAATTTGTCTTCAAACTGGTCCAAGTTACGTCTGGTATCTAAAGCTGGTTGGCTTGTTGTTTAACGCCGCACTCAGCAATATTCCAGCTATACGACGGCGGTCTGTAAATAATCGAGTCTGGACTGACAATCCAGTGATTAATGTCATAAGCATCATTCCACGCAATTGGGATCTATGACATGTATCAACCAAGTCAGCGAGCCTTACCACCCGATCCCATTAGTCGATTTTAACGACAAGCATAGTCACCTTTTACAGCAAGCATGGGTTGCTGAAGACCTATTCTACCCCGGAATCTGTTATCTAGAGAGAACTGTATAAGATGACACTGTTGTTTAATATGACATTAGAAGAGGTTAATTTGTCTTACAACATGACAAGATTGGGAGACAAAATAAACAAGCATAAGCGTTCTCAGGGTTTATTGGAAGGTAATTTCCTGCAACACAATACTCTTATCACTAAATAACGCAGGTATGTGGGACAAAGGCTTCATTAATAAGAATGGTGACTGTGACTCCTTGGAGGAGGCGTCACACAGGGAGGGAGGGAGGGAATATTTAAGTTTCCAGTTTCATGAATTGTGAAACATTTTGGGCTAGTAGGTTAAAGGATTATCCACACAAAAACTCAACTATATTTCCTTTATTTATCCTTTTTCGGTAACATGATGTGTATATCATTAAATAGTCTGTCATACAGACCCCGAAACAAATATATCCGATGCAGCCCATGCAAGTCTATACTAGTTAGCAAGTCTAGATTACTGCACTTTGAAAGAAGAGAGTTTCTGGGCTCCTTTTTATTATTTTTTATTAAGATAATTTAACAACTGTTTTTTCTGTATGTTTTTTTCGTAAGAGACTAGATGTTAGTCTATTCATTAAACAAACTGACACAATGCCTTTCTTCACATTAAATGTCAGACAAATACACATTTGTCTTCAAGTGAGTGAGTTGGGTTTAACGCCGCTTTTAACATTATTCTAGTTATATCACGGCATGCCTGGTCTCTCAAAGTGAAGCAATAGTGTAAACATATAGCAACTAATTTTGGGACAGCAATAGAAACTAACAGTTTTAGTCCACTAGTCCTTTTGATAACATATAGCGATAACCTTGAAAAGGGCAAATTTCTACTGGTCCTTATGATACCTTAACTATTGGGCAGTTTGGCAAGGACTACAGGACTAGTGCCAGTTCCTATCACTGCCTTAACTATTGGGCAGTTTGGCAAGGACTATAGGACTAGTGCCAGTTTCTAACACTGCCTTAACTATTGGGCAGTTTGACAAGGACTACAGGACAAGTGCCAGTTTCTAACACTGCCTTAACTATGGGCAGTTTGACAAGGACTACAGGACAAGTGCCAGTTTCTAACACTGCCTTAACTATGGGCAGTTTGACAAGGACTACAGGACAAGTGCCAGTTTCTAACACTGCCTTAACTATGGGCAGTTTGACAAGGACTATAGGACTAGTGCCAGTTTCTAACATGTTCTAACACTGCCTTAACTATTGGGCAGTTTGGCAAGGACTATAGGACAAGTTCCAGTTTTTAACACTGCTTTAACTATGGGCAGTTTGGCAAGGGCTAGTGCCAGTTATTAATGCTGTAAATGGTATAACAACGCACATAAGCTCATCAGGTTACATGACCTTAACACGCACTCATTGTATGCTTAAAGAAAACAATTTCCCAAACCAGGACATGCTGCAACCAAGATCTCCTTACAACATTAAAAATAAAGTGTTTACCTGACAATAAACCTTTTTTCAAATTATTTGAGCTCCCTAGTCATTCCGACTGACATATATTACTCCAGTTTCAAACAATACCTCAACCCATTATTACCTTAGGGTAGTCTTTCAAAACACCCATACGCATACAGGAAACAAGGTTGAAGGTTAATACCTATGGGAATCTAGAAACCAGTTATTTCCCACTGTAAGTTGTAACCATGGTAACAGCATCGGCCGACAGATTTTCACGATTCTCATCACAAGCTCATGCCTACTAAAGAAAACCAGAGTGCTACCAAATGATGAATTATTTACAAACTTTAAATAGAAATATCCACACAACTTACAAACAAAGACACAATCCCCATACAGTTTGTACGTTAATACCATATTTATTCGTGTATAGAAACTAGCAGAATGTAACCACCGCGTGATGTCGTGAGTTTGATTCAATATGCCTGAAACTGAAAACTAAATATGGTAATGAATACGAATAACTTATGACATTCTGGTCATCATGCCACCTCTTTGCCTAACCAAATAACTGTACAGACAAACGTGCCTATCCAACATGTACTTGGTATGTATCACAAAAGATTAACTTCATACACTCACACTGACCAATATAATGTAATCTACTACTGAAATAACATGGCCTATCTGCACACTAGAAAAAAAGAAATAAAGTAATAAATAAAAGAACATGGTAATGACAAATATATACACTTATTCTGTTCATTAAAATTCATGTCAAATAATCAATACTATCTACAGAATCAAAATACAACTTATCATGTATTAATGCATACATAACTATTAGTATTTGTAATAACCCAGGCAGCATGTTCATATCTGCATGAACGGCCAGATGCACTTGAATAATTCACGACTTAATATCTGTGTCATGATCGGCTTCCATAGTATAAAAAAATCACATTAGACTGACAGGTTTATGGAGATGCCTGTTGGGTGCTTGCACATCAGCACAATCTGGTGTCAAGTGTAACTACTGATCTATCTATGTGTGAGTCGACTTTAACGGAGAGGGTGATGGGAGTCGACTAGAACAGATCTGGTGTTGGGGAGTCGAATAGAATGGATCTAGTGGAGGGAAGCAACTAGAATACATCTGGTGTTGGGGAGTCGAATAGAATGGATCTAGTGGAGGGAAGCAACTAGAATACATCTGGTGTTGGGGAGTCGAATAGAATGGATCTAGTGGAGGGAAGCGACTAGAACAGATCTGGTGTTGGGGAGTTGAATAGAATGGATCTAGTGGAGGGAAGCGACTAGAACAGATCTGGTGTTGGGGAGTCGAATAGGATGGATCTAGTGGAGGGAAGCGACTAGAATAGATCTGGTGTTGGGAGTCGAATAGAATGGATCTAGTGGAGGGAAGCGACTAGAACAGATCTAGTGTTGGGAGTCGAATAGAATGGATTCTTGAAAAAGTTCAGAGTGTTCATTCTTGAGAATCAGCTGTCTGAGATGGCATTGATCGTTGCTCATGCTTGGTGCAAGGTCTCAGGAACATTGGTGTTGGGTGGTCAGGTTGATTTGTGTCATGACCTGTTGCCATGGTTGCATGGATTGTTACTCATGCTTTCAGTCACTAGCCTGCCTGGTCAAGGCATGAATATTTACTGGCTGCTGTAATACAGCATAAAACAACAACATTCATTCATTCATTGAGGCTGTGCCTGCAAGTGTCGCGAGAGTGAAAAAGGGGGCAGTGAGTGAGTGAGTGAGTGAGTGAGTGAGTGAGTGAGTGAGTGAGTGAGTGAGTGAGTGAGTGAGTGAGTGAGTGAGTGAGTGAGTGAGTGAGTGAGTGAGAGTCCTACTTACACATTTGTAGTTCCCGCTGCTTGCTATGAATTTCTTATTGGGCGACCAGCTGCAGCTATACACCCACTTGCACTGCGGGCGGAGTGTGCGGTACATGTTGCCGTCCATGTTGAGATCCCACAGCTTGAGCGTGCCATCACGCGACGCCGACACCAGGTGGAGGCTGCCATCGGGGGCGAAGTCCATGTCTCGGACAACATCCTTGTGGTCAAGCAACTCCAGCAGCAGGTGCCCTGTCGGAATCAACAAAACACAATTATGTGTTTGAACGAAATTATGTTTATAAAAACATTGTTTTGGTTATATATTTGTTCCTTTCTAGATCAAGCATTGCTGAAATAAAACAGATCCCTGGCCGCCCACTTTATTGTCTGCTTCATGTTTGTGAAGTCCACACAAGAAAATATATTTGTTGTATTTCTGTCAGAGACAAATGAACACTTACGTATTTAGTTGTAATTCATTCAGTTATAATATGAATCGTAATTAAAATAAATTCCAAACAAAAATGTTAATGCAATGCAGATGAGAAAAAGTCTAAACTTAAACCCAAGACTGACTCTAATAACTGCACCACTCTGGACTACCAAGCCCCTAAATCCCACAGGGCAACAACATGGACGCCTGCTACACAGACAATAGAACGAGAGGGATAACATCTACACCGCGTATTGTGAAAGACAAGAAGATCGATCCGTCTACATATGAAGTATATACAATGTTAGTGATTCTGTTATCACTTCTGGTTCACGTTTTTTCAATATTGATAATGTCTGAAGATGGGCAGGCAACACTTGCCGAAACCTGCCCGACACCTGCCCGACAGTCTTGTTGAATATTAGATCACCTTTAACCTTTTCTTGAATAACTGTGACATTAGATCATAATGATGCATGCATAATGGGCAATTGACCTTTTCAAAATGGCTGCCATAGCGGCCATGTTTGAAATGTTAGAAATACCATTGCTAGGATTATCCGTGCTAAGTCTCAGATCCTGTTAGTGTTATCAAGATAGACCGACAGTGCCTCAAGACATATGCTCTCTCAAACTTTCACCCCAAAATCAGTAGAACGAGAGGGATAACATCTACACCGCGTATTGTGAAAGACAAGAAGATCGATCCGTCTACATATGAAGTATATACAATGTTAGTGATTCTGTTATCACAGACTACAATCAGTGATTTGTTAACTGTCTCCTATCCTCTTGACATGGAACTCAATGAAATGAGTGTACGAAATAACTGCCTGCCTGCCTGCCTGCCCGCCCGCCTGCCCGCGGCTGGCAACTTTTCTGTCATGCTGAATGAAATTTCCCTCTACCTGCCAGGCTGTCTGGCAGATAATATTAAGCCAACTTACATATTCTGTTTTATTATAACGCCTTGTGGATTCTCAAGTAATTGTCAGCATTATTTCATCTGAATCAAGACGTCATTTGTCTCTCATTTTTCGCGTTTTTTCAATATTGATAATGTCTGAAGATGGGCAGGCAACACTTGCCGACACCTGCCCGACAGTCTTGTTGAATTTTAGATCACCTTTAACCTTTTCTTGAATAACTGTGACATTAGATCATAATGATGCATGCATAATGGGGCAATTGACGTTTTCAAAATGGCTGCCATAGCGGTCATGTTTGAAATGTTAGAAATACCATTGCTAGGATTATCCGTGCTAAGTCTCAGATCCTGTTAGTGTTATCAAGATAGACCGACAGTGCCTCAAGACATATGCTCTCTTAAACTTTCACCCCAAATTCAGTAAAATTGTGCTAAGAACTGGATAAGTGATGGAAGAAGGTCATAGCATGTTAGTATTAGAACCGGCCCACTAGTAAATTCTAAAACCAAGTGTATAGTGATACAGGTACATGTATCATGGTTATCAACACAAAGGCATGCTAATCACCAAAATCTACAAACAGAAGAATGTTTAATTACAAAAGCATTTCAAATCTTGGAGTTGTTACACTTACATTTTGATTCTGGAGTTGAGATTTGGAAGGAAAAAAATAAATCTGTGTCAATTTTTTAACATATACATGAGCGAGGGAGCACGGAGGTGATGATAAAGGTGGCTCAAATTCTATGAGGGAGTGAGTGAGTTTGGATTAACACCACTTGTGTGAGCTTAATGTGTGAAGAAAGACAGAAAGGTTGTTTCCATGTGAAACCCAGAAGCATGAGTCTGGTGTTGTCAAATCTAGAAACACAATCAGGGAGAATTAATGTTTCTGACCATGATCATTGGTTTCTGGTACATCTAAGGGAGGCAACTCTGTACACTACATAATATTAATTATAATACCATCTTAAGTAACCTTATGAACATTTCGCAAGCAGATGAACAGTGTCACATAGTCAACATTATAAATTAATTATTATAAGATGGAAATACCCTAAATCCAAAGGCGGACCACTATTTTTAAAAGGGAGGGGTAAAATATCAAAATCCTCTCTCAGTAAATTACTGTCTACAAAATACAAGATTTGGTTGTTGATGGGGGTGGAGATGGGGATGGGGGTGGAGATGGGGGTGAGGGTGGGGGGGGGGGGGGGGGGGGGGGGAGAGACACACACTCACACACACACCTGGATCCACCTAGGAAATCTATCACTTTTATAAAACACATTCCAAGACTATGATATTTTTAAGACTATTTATAAAACTATTAAATATTATACATTTATAAAACACATTGATTTTTGTATTGTTTTGAAAATGGAAAATAAAAACGAAACATGCAGCGGACTTTATGATGATGGGGGCGGTGCCTTAGAACCAAGACTATGATTCTTTTTAGCCTATTCATAAAACTATTATTTGTTTTATCTAGATTGCCCTTGTGCAATCTGTTTCTGTTTCTGTTTCTGTTTCTGCACCTACCAGTGCCACAGTTCCAGAGCTTGATCCGGCCACTCTGCAGACCGGTGGCAAGGATCAGGTTGTGGTCAAGTTTAAGTCTTGTCCACACATGAGCATTGACATTGGACGTCCCGGACCCAAACGCAACTGACCACACAATTTCTCCACAGTCGATCGTGAGAGTTTGCCGCAACTCGTGGCACTCCTTGTCATCCCTGCAGAAAAAAAACCACAACAATTTTTAATCTGCTCTGAAATATTTACTGTCAAAAGTTTCCATGCGATTTGACATAAATATGCGTATCGCGATGTGTATGGTTTCATGGCCTATGTATCATGATATGTATCGTATCATGACCTTGCTGTATCATATCATGACCTTGCTGTATCATATCATGACCTTGCTGTATCATATCATGACCTTGCTGTATCATTTCACCCCTAGGTTTTGTTTGTTTGTTTGTTTGTTGTTTAAAATGGCGCTCAGCAATATTCCAGCTATATATGACAGCAGTCTATTTAAATAATCGAGTCTGGACCAGACAATCAAGTAATTGACAACATGAGCATCTATCCATGCAATTGGGATACGATGACATACATCAACCAAATCAGCAAGCCTGACCACCCAATCCTGTTAACCACCTTTTACGACAAGCATAGTTGCCTTTTACAGCAAACATGGGTTGCGGAAGACCTATTCTACCCCGGATCTTCACGGGCTTACTCCTAGTACCAATGACCTGGTAATACAGCACTGTGTCGAGCTGGCAGGCTTGAACAGTTTGTTGAGTTAAATAATACATATTCAAAACAATTGGATTAAAATCTAATAATTAATAATAACACTAATAATAATAATTACAGTGACAGAACAGTTATAGTTCACAAGTCCTTATTATTATAGACTGCCTCCGTGGTCTGGTGGTACAGCGTCCGCCTGGAGAGCGGAAGGTCCGAGGTTTGATCCGTGTCATACCAAAAGACATTTACAGATGGTACTTGTTGTTACCCTGCCTGGCTCTGGGCATTAGGGGCTAAAACAAGGACTGGTCAACAAGGAGTCAGTATACCGTGTCTGAGTGGGGCATCCATGTTAAACTGTGGCATGGTATCTCAGTGGGCTAGCGCTATAGAATCGGCATCAGCCCAGACTAGTACAAGCAGCCACACACACATGCCTGCACATTGCTATGTAAGTGCAATCATCTTGAACGTGACGTTAAACCACCTATTGTCAGCTGGCTAGGTAATCCGGTCTCATGACAGAGCAGCTGTGAGCAGCGCCACCAATTGTCAGCTGGCTAGGTATTCAGGTCTCATGACAGAGCAGCTGTGAGTGGCGCCACCTATTGTCAGCTGGCTAGGTAATCCGGTCTCGAGCAGAGAGCAGCACACTGCGTATTAATCCCGTCACCTGACACCACAACACACACTGAGTGTGACCCAGAGGGTCGCCCAATAATGAGGAGAGCTCCTCGCAAGCCTACTTAAACAGGACACTTGATCACCAATATTAGACAACAATTATTTAATTAAACCACTCAACTCTGTATAGGGATAATCAGTTATATCATTCTGTTTAAAGATGGCTTTAAAGACACACTTAAAGATGATAAAGTCTCAACTGGACAGAGGTCGAAGCCTTGGAGACCTCGTGGCGAAATAAAGCACTGTAACCATGGTAACTAACTCACTTGATGCAGTTCCTGGACCTATTCCAGGGCAGGAGTTGAACTATCCGGTTGCCGCACGACCAGGCGAAGTACGAGTAATCCGGTGCCCACGCACATGCCCATGTCTCGTTGCCCTGGCGATGAGACTGGTTCCCCAAAGACAGTTGCAAATGTTCAACAACTTGCGCACGAGCTGTCCAAAACAAGTTTCATCATTAAGCATGTATAGTATAACTGAGGTTTGTGTGCCGTGTGCCATGTTTTGTGTCAGCCTCCGTATCTCCAGGGCTCACATTTCGGTAAACCTATACTAACCCCTCTACCCATCCCATGGTTCCTGCGATCTAAACTTACCCGCCCTTAATTTTGATTAGCCAATTTGAATTGCTCTGCTTCTCAATCTGACAGACCAATCAGAATGCAAGTTACAAACCCGCCTCAATGATGGTTGGCGATACCAACAATATGGCCGCCAGTCTAATTGATTACGAAAGAGTTTGCCAGAAATCCAACATTGACAAACAGACTGACATGTAAAAGAAAGCCTTAAAATTTTGTCTTCGTGTCAACTAAAACTGGCAGTGGCAAGTTCTCCCTCAACTGTTTCCTTTTTCCTTATCTCGACGTTTAATTGGTCAGTCAAATGTTATGAAAATTAAGGGTGGGTAATTTAAGATCATGAGAACCACGGGAATGGATGAAGGGGTTAGTGTAGGTTTACCGAAATGTGATCCCTGAAGATATGGAGCATATTTTTTTTTTCAGTCAGTTAATGTCAGATGGATGCTGATAGTAACATTCAGCAGTTGTTTGGGAATATTTATAAGAATTTTAAATTACTTTTTCTGTAATTTGTTTATTTTTCAAAAGCATTTACTTGGTCTTGCATAGCAATGTATTGCTTTGGGAAATTACATATTTCATTAACTTACAAGTAGTTTCAGTGAAGGTTACCTAAGAAGAGTCCCACTGAACAAATTATTATTAATATTTATTTTTGGTGTTGCTTCTGATGTGACAACAAAGTTATTTGACTTTTTTTCAGCCTGTGTGTAAAAGCAGTCCTTTTTAGAAGTTTGAAAACTGAATAAGGAGATAAACCGGCTGTGTTTTCCATGAAGAGGTTTTCAAACATAGATTTGATACTTGTACGTTTCATTCAATACTGAAAGCATTAGCAACCCTGCACTTGTTTGAGACAAAAATGAATTGTTTCCATGGAAACATAATTAATCCAAGTCGTGTCAAGTGAAAAGGTCAGTGACCTCATGACGTGTCCTGACTGATGTATACAAAGAGGTTACTACATGTGTGTACATATATAGAGGTTATCACGTGAGTGTGTTTGGGGATGGTAAATATCCTGCATTAGGAATAAACGTATTTAGCGAGCCTTGCTCATATGCAAGTCTTAAAAAACTCCTATTAGATTCTTAATGGACTCCTATGGGGCGCGTGACACACTCGTAGCAGACTCGTATGATACTTGTATATATGTAGTCTCTTCCCGAGTCCTGAGTTAGGCTCGGGAGCCCAGCAACCACCTCGGCAAAGTGTGAGAGCTGCTTTATAAAATAATCAAAATAGAAACCGTCAAGTAAAAACTCAATTGTTCAAAAAGTTGTCTGGAGCTCTGTATCATTCTTTTGTACCTCGAAGGATGTAGGTCAAGGTCAAGGTCAAGGTCAAGGTCTACATGATGTATGCTGTTGTATTTCTGTATATCTTGTTGTATTTCTGTATTCAAGAATTGACATTCACTTTGTGTGAGTTCATTGGAGTATGAACCTTCATAGAGTGATGTCCAAACTGTCAAACATCGGAGCTAACATTGAAGTTCATACAATATAACTCTATGCCATGACAGATTAACCATAATCATATTAAAGAGTCAGGTGATCTTTAACTTCTTTTGAGTAGCATATCAATGGTATAGTGTTGTGATTTGCCACTACATCACAAACAAGGTCTGCCCTAGCCATGTGTAGCATGTGGTATTGATTATGTTGATTGCTGGGTCCCGGTCAACCATCACGCTGACACCAACGCCACAAGGTGAGTCAGAACTGTTCATTAGGAACAGGGATTGTTCAATGAGATTTGCAAGGTTATCATAAATAAGGCAAAAAAATAGGTAACACCTTATTAATAATAGAGTTTTTTAATCATGTTAATCTAAAATTTGAAAAAAATTCAAGAATATCAATCTCCTCCTACATGTCCTAAAGTATACATATTTAACATATTCTGGGAACATGGGACTCAAAATAATATTTTATTGAACCATACAAATTAGTTTACATGTTTTAGTAGCAACTATTTAGAGACGTTCATATCATTTAGATAGTGACATGAAATGGATCACTTGGATATGTTGTCATACAAATAGTATTCAATAATTCAAGGACATGATGGAACAGATACATTTTCCAATACAACAAACACGTACACGTTCTGTATCAGCTGCCTGGGGTTCGTAACAGTATGAAATATCTCAGCAACCTAACAAAGGATGGACTGCATATTTCATAATTATCTCAAAATATAATGAACAAAAAGTTTAGGATCATGAAAATTTTGGAGGATTTTTTTATGAAACAATGTGCTCATCTTTCTATACATAAACATATCCCCCAAAATATTTATGATCTGAAACCTTTTCAGTTCAGTATATGTATATGAGGTAGGTTATAAAGCTCATTGTCATAGCAACCGATTTTGAACAACCTTTGTCTGAATGAAGATGAAGAAAGGCTAATTACCCTGAAACTATAAAATGTATCTTTCTAGAATCACACCATTACTTATAAGATGCTAATCCCAATTGTTAATCTCCATTGCATTGTACACGGACTGTCAGCCATCTTGAACGTGCTGTGTAACTATGTCCTCATTATTTACTGTCGTGTATATTGACACTCATGGTTCCCATACAAATATTAAACACAATTTTCAATGTTTGTTTGTTTGTTGTTTAACACCGCACTCAGCAATATTCCAGCTATATGAAAGCGGTCTGTAAATAATCAAGTTTGGACAAGACAATCCAGTGATTGACATCATGAGCACTGACCTATGCAATTGGGATCGATGACATGCATTAACCAAGTCAGCGAGCCCGACCACCTGCTCCCGTTAGTCGCCTCTTACAAGCATAGTCGCCTTTTACGGCAAGCATGGGTTGCTGAAGACCTATTCTACACCGGATCTTCACGGGTCTATTAATGACTTAATCCATGTTAGATGACCTTGAATATAAAAGAGTTGGTCCAGAGACGAAGAATGAAGACAGGTCTCACCCTTAGCTGGCCCAACTAGCAAGATCAGGGCCCACTTGCACAAAGCGATCTATGCGCTAAGACTATTGTAAGCCTATGTTAAAGTATGGGAGTTACGATCATCTTAGCGCTAAGATCGCTTTGTGCAAGAGGGCCCTGGTGATGGGTACCAAGACCATCACTACTATCACCATGTGCTGACCTGGCACACAGTGCTTCTTGTATATATATATACCAGCATAAAGTAAACTTGTACATACCGCAAACTGTTGACTCCATGTTGTCACTTCCTACCACAAACCGTTCACCTACCCCTTGCATATAGGAATATGCAAGTTAATGAAGTTATCTATTAGAACATCCATGCACATCACACGTTGTTATAATTAGAAAAGCAGCGTTAGAAATTGGCACTAGTCCTATAGTCCTTACCAAACTGCCCAATAGTAAAGGTATCCTAAGGACTAGTAGAAATTGGCCCATTTTAAGGGTTTTGCTATATGTTATCATTATAAGGACTAGTGGAGAAAAGCTGTTAGTTTCTAACCCTTGAAAAGTGTCACATATATTTTCACATGCCTGTGTTAACAGATGTGAAATATAATATATAAACCGTCGGACCTGGACGCAAGCATTGCTATTTCGCCTAATACAATCAGTATTTGTGGCCCATCAGCAGACAAGGGACCTTATGGGTGCTAGGATACAATTGTGCCGTGACGTCATAAAGATGTCAGACGTCAACTTACTTCAGTGAAAATCGCCATATGTATGGACTGTACAAAATTATATTATTTTTCTTGTTAGTTCGTAATTCAATTGTGACGTGACGTCAAAAAGATGTTTGACGTCAACTTACTTCAGTGAAAATCGCCATATGTATGGACTGTACAAAATTATATTATTTTTCTTGTTAGTTCGTAATTCAATTGTGCCGTGACGTCATAAAGATGTCTGACGTCAACTTACTTCAGTGAAAATCGCCATATGTATGGACTGTACAAAATTATATTATTTTTCTTGTTAGTTCGTAATTCAATTGTGCCGTGACGTCATAAAGATGTCTGACGTCAACTTACTTCAGTGAAAATCGCCATATGTATGGACTGTACAAAATTATATTATTTTTCTTGTTAGTTCGTAATTCAAATGTGCCGTGACGTCATAAAGATGTCTGACGTCAACTTACTTCAGTGAAAATCGCCATATGTATGGACTGTACAAAATTATATTATTTTTCTTGTTAGTTCGTAATTCAATTGTGCCGTGACGTCATAAAGATGTCTGACGTCAACTTACTTCAGTGAAAATCGCCATATGTATGGACTGTACAAAATTATATTATTTTTCTTGTTAGTTCGTAATTCAAATGTGCCGTGACGTCATAAAGATGTCTGACGTCAACTTACTTCAGTGAAAATCGCCATATGTATGGACTGTACAAAATTATATTATTTTTCTTGTTAGTTCGTAATTCAATTGTGCCGTGACGTCATAAAGATGTCTGACGTCAACTTACTTCAGTGAAAATCGCCATATGTATGGACTGTACAAAATTATATTATTTTTCTTGTTAGTTCGTAATTCAAATGTGCCGTGACGTCATAAAGATGTCTGACGTCAACTTACTTCAGTGAAAATCGCCATATGTATGGACTGTACAAAATTATATTATTTTTCTTGTTAGTTCGTAATTCAATAAAAACTTTATTTCAAAACCTTTCACTTTCAGCATATCAATTCATCTAAAAATTGTTATTATTGCATAATCAGGTAACTTGCACCATCTGTTTTCCTCTTTTAGTAAGACATGCTTGGGGACTGAACCACCATATGTCTGCCCTCCAGACAAACGCTCTGTCCACTAGACCATGGAGACGATCAGTTTGTTGTCAATCTACATGAAAAGTGACTG